AAGAATTTAAGCTCAAGTTATAATACTCAAGGATGTAATCAAAAGTTAAATTCAATTTAAGTGTAAAGACATTGAATTCTTAGTACAGTAACACTTTTGGATTATTTAAAGTACAGTTAACAATTTTATTGTTTTGATTTAAACATTTTGAAATAAGTCATGAAACGTATTAATAAAACAATTTCTATGTTAATATTTTTGATATTTTTGAAAGTGTTTCTTAGATTAAAAGAGATTAAAATCATTCATTGAATGTGTGCTAACTTAAGTCAACAAAACCAGTGTGATAATCCATGTTTTGTTTGATTGTTTAATGATATTTAATTTGATTTCAGAGGCAAAACATAATTATTTTAATAATAACTGAAATTACAGTACAGTATAACTAGTTTCTAAATAGACTTATGAAATATGATAACATGAACAATATATCAGATTTAATGCATTGAAATTAAATTTGAATTTTACACTGGAATCAAATGTATTATAAACTATTAATAATTATTACATAATCTTTATTAAAATAACAAATGCTTTGATAACAAGTTATTTGGCATTAATTCAATTCAATTCTCTAGCGTTTAGTTTATTATTTCAAAAGTTTAAATACCATTTGAATTAAATGTTTAAAGAAGTGACGAACAAATTGTCTAACAATCAAACAATTATGAAATCAACTGGTAATTATCATAGAGACTATTATACAATATACAGGGATATTTTGTCACAGGATTGTATAATTTATATGTAAAGTATAATTATTACAACAACAGTGATACTCAATACATTCACGAATGGAAAGGGGTTTCATTAGTTTGAAGTACCTCGACATTTATAGATCCTGTTTTACATTTAACAATTAATTTACATCTAACTTTTCTGGTGAAATAAATATTTTGTATAAAATAAATAGATATGGAGCAAAAGCTGTTCATACAATACAATCGTTATTTGAAAAATATTTACTATTTTTATAACTTACTGTATATTACTGTATATCACTTATATAAAAGAGTTTTAATGAAAGTGAAAAATATTTCATTTAAATATCCTTGAAATGTATAAAAAACAAATTAATTCTTATGAAAATGACATGAATGTCCAATACTTCACATAATTTGCATTTTATAGAAATCTCTTATTTGTATTCTCTTATAATAATTCCTTATAACATAATTAATAGCATTTGTCACCTAAGTTTGAATTACGTATAAATTAAAATGAGTGAACATTTACTTAAAAGATCATAACTAAGACTAGAAAGTTTTAAAGCATAATTTTAATTTTAGTGATATATCCTTTGGGATTTCAAATGAAAACACAAATCAATAATGTAAATGAAATTATTTTTTATAGTGTTTTTCTTCTCGAGATTTAGTCAATGAATTCATAAGATTTGGGAAATTACAAGACTCTGACCATGAATTACATAATAGCAGTCATTTGGAAGAAAATGTTGAATTGTTTTCAAAAATTATTGTAAGGAAACTGATTAGCGGTAAGAATTGGCAATATTTTCAATTTCTAATAAAATTTTAAGTTTTATTTTTTGATAAAATATTTTTATTTTATAGGAGTTTGCGTCAAATATGAAGAAGATGAGTATTTTGATTATTTAATATCGAAATATGGATCAGAAAGTGGACATAAAATTGGAGGAGAAGGTATTAATGATTTTGCAGTTTAATAATACTTTTCACATTAATGTATTCAATTTATTAACAAATTCTTATTTATAAATATTATAAAGATCTTAGCATTATTAAATCTTAACCACGATATTTCTAAAATTAATATTAGCTATGATTCGTATCCTATGTTAGTTAATATTGAATATTTTGCCAAAATATTATGAATTTCTTATTATAAATACAGTATAATATTTAGTATGAATTAAAGTTATATTCTATTATCCTATTGTATATTAAAAATTATAAATAAATTAAAACACAAATTGAATTATCTATTGAAAGGTTTTGAACAACTTTTACACGATTTAAATATTGGCAATAATGAGGAACACAGTGATGAAGAGGATCATCATATGCACGATCACCACAACGACCACACGCACAGACACCACAAGAGATCCATTCCCAATCATTTACACAATGAAACAAATGAATCCAAATATCATTGTCTTGACCACGACTTCTATTTAAGAAGTTTTTCAAACGACGGCTATTTTACAATAAATGAAGTGAAAAACTTGTGTCCAGTTTTGCTGCAACAGATAGTAAGCCGGGTCTGTGTTGACAATGACC